GTCCGGGTCGTACACACATAGCGGCGTTGATGACGAATAACAACAGAACAGCTCATTAACCCAACGAATTTAATGACGGCGAAGAATTCCAATGTTTACAAAACCATCCGGTCGCCCTTTCATCATAAATTACGAGGCTCAGGGAGCCGTAAAAACCACATGATGAAAGGCGGTAAACGAAAGAAAAGAAAACAGTTTTTACGTACCTAAATCATTCACAAGCGCTTTTCCACGTGCGTAAAGGGGCTCAAAAATAAAAAAATTACTACTGAAGGATTGTGGTCTACTGACATACAAAAAAAGTGAGGAACGGAACGGACTAACATAAAACCTTGTTGAGGAATAGCCTCAACAACGACCTATCTTAGAGCATTACGAATTTCTATGTCAGAGGCTTTTTGAAGGTATCTTAGACAACCCTAGCAATAAGTTAAAGGGGCTTCTTCCACCCATACATAAACTCAGCTATAACTTCAAAAATAAGCGCCAATTTAATATGCCACGCCTTCGCACTTCCAGAACGATGAACACTTTTATATTTGCTATGGCAAAGAAGTTTAATGGCTAAATTTTTATCGATACGATATCCTTTACTTTTGTTACGGCACGCGTGATAATGATGGTAATAATAATGATGATAATGATAATGTAGATACTTTTAATTAATTTACATTTGTTTTATATAATTTACATTTATAGCAAAGATATTTTATTTCATTTACTATTATGTTATAATATTGTAAACTGCTGGTATAATAAGATGTGTAACTAGGTTTTTGAATTTTAAATTTTAAATTTTAAATTTCTTGGATTGTAAAAATGTGTAATTCAGCGCTTGGGCTGCAAATACTTTTGAGATTAAACTATCTATCCAAAAACTATGGCTTTATTTTTGTGAGGACTCGCTAGCTTTAAGAGGGGTAATAAGGTATATAAATTTTGTCTTTTTACGACAATTGGCCAAAATGTTGGTTATTAATGCGCTAGAAATTGTGAGGTATTTCTTACATGCCAACTACTTCTTCTTTAAAACCTTCTTATGTGACGAAGATTGGCGTATAATCCATTCGCTGAGGTTTAAGGTAGATTCTCTCGACTATCAATGACAGTATCGAAAAAGCTTCACACTTTTCTAATCCATCAGCCGCTGATTAATTCTGTACAATTTATTAAGTAATGCTTGCAAACACGAAGGAAGGCCAATTCGATTATCAAACATCGTCAATTTTACGTTTAGGGGCTTGCTCGGGCTTAATGTTAGACCAAGCTCCGGTTGTTCGAAAAATGGATAACGCTATCCACTGGATAAATCTCAATCTAGTGGATAGCGAAGTAAGTTTCGTTAACACATCCGCTGGATAGCAATTTATGTGGTGGATCTTACACTTTTTTAACGTTACGGCCCAACAATTTCTGTCTTTGAACGAGACGAATTACTCATACTTCATAGCAAGTGGAATGATCGTAGTGTCAGCGTTAATTTTGTTTTCAGTGACCTTTAAGAAGCTGCCTCGCATCAATAAGGTAAACTACGACGTACATAATACTGTGTTTGGCCTCTTTAAATCCACTACAATTATTGCTTCCCGAAACACAACATTAAAGCGAGAATCAGACCAGCTATGTGCTCTATAGTTGGGAAGCATTGAGATAATTTCATGCCGATTTACAACATCCTAAGTTTCCAAACGCTCGTGTTTAAACATTTTTTCTGAATAGGTAGCCTCTAGCAAAAGAGACAAGCAAGGATTTCTGAAAAACTGTGCGTATCACATTCAATTGGAACCCTTGCAAGACAACAACAAAGCAGTGACAAAAGCATTTTTGTTTATTTCAACTAACCATTACTTAACTCTCATAAACACCCGCATCATTCAGAGTTACTTAGTACTGTCAGTTAGGGATAGCATTGGTTTTGCAAATTAGTCATTTGCGATTATATTGCTCTTCATTCAAAAATTCGTAAGTTAAAAATTATTTACCGCTAAACCAGCAGTTTGAAATCTGTGGTTTTTGGGCAACAAGACCAGATTAATCTGCTTTCTAGCATTTGCTATATTTAGGAATTATACTTCCATAGGCGCAGCACCTCTGATAATAGATGCTGTGGGGTTCCCCGTATCATGTGCGAGAGCAGCTAGAAAATATGGAAACGACTTTTCGTGAGCTGCCAAGAATGCAGCATTTGTGGGTCCTCGGGTTGTAGGTAACCAGGCCACATTTGCGGGGGCAGCTTGAAGATCTGGGGATTACTCTTCGTAAACGGCCGAGAATGCAACATTTGTGGGTCCTCGGGTTGTAGGTGACCAAACCACACTTCGGGAGAGGAAAAAGGCAGCTACTATGTTTGGGAACGACTCGTCTGCCAAAGCAACATTTATGAGTCAATGGGTTGTATAGCTTGAAGCCACATCTCCTCACTGGAATCCCATCTTCTACTTCATCCTCGCTGGTTTCTTCATCTTCTCGGTGATAGTCTTGTGCTTCCTCTTCCTGAACGTCATCTTCTCCAGAAAAGAGGGAGAATTCTCAAACTAAGAATCACGTGATTCCACTAACTAAAAGTATAGTTTCGAAACTACTTCGCTGTTCTTACACTTTCGTCTAAAATTTCTTTTTTACTTACCTTGGTCGCCCTCCCCCTCAGCAGCTTCGTTTGAAGGTTCTTCTTCAGTGGCGTCTTGTTCAACGGGAGTATTTTCCACTTTTTCAGTGTCTTCGGCTGAGAAAGTATTAAGTTCACAACATTAATGAGTGATTTTAATAACTGCCTGACTGATTGCACTTTCACCACTTGACCCATTGATTGATTGATTGTTTCATAGAATCATTTTTATTTGAGAAACTGGTTTCCGCTTACAGATATGCTGGTTATGTACTTGTTTTTCTCCATCTTTTATAACCGATTAGCTCATTAAAAAAGAGTTTAGCAGTTGTAAAACATGCGGGATTTTCTCTGCAAGAATCCAAACTCACCTGATAGAAACTCGCCCT